ATGGTACATAGTAGGTGCTGAATAAATACTGCATAGATGATTATATAGAAAGGACTTTCTCCAACTGTGTGGCTATATTATAAGAGCCTTATGAGCAGAATTCATTTAAAAAGGAATCTGTTGTGCCTGTCTTGGTACAAAGACTATGGTCAGTAAACATTTCCTATTTGACTGTTGACCCAAATGGAACTTTAGGGGCCCACACCCATAAGATACCATCCAGAGAGCCTCCTGGATGTCTTACTACCAGGTGCATGAGAGTAATTTGAGCAGCGTAATAGATTTTTCAAGCCTTGTAAAGGAGAAATCTTTAAAAATTATTTCATGAAGTATAATACCCATTGGATATAAGGAATTTTTTTCCTCTGTAATTTGACAGTTTTTCAGTGAAACAGAACATTTTGGCAACACGTAAAATAATTTTGCTTAGGGCAGTATTTTTTTTTAGAGTATATTTTGGAAACTAATATAAGTTACTTGGAAAATGTGATTAGTCTTTTGGTGAGACAAAATATTTAAATTTCCAAGTTTTTTTTAAAAATAAGATTTACTTTTTTATTTGTTTTACTTATTTATTTTAAATTTTTATATAATATACACAAACTTCATGTATTTCAAATATACAGATTTAGGAACATAGTGGTACTTCTCATCCTACCCTCCCTCCTGAAAATGCTCCCAGCTTTCTTCCTCCTCCCTCTCCTATTCCAACTCTTAATTTTTATAAAGATCTATTTTCAGTTTACTTTATACTCATAAAATTAATCCCACACTAAATAAAATGTTCAACAAATAGTATGAAGAAAAAAAATACACTATTAAGTAATAGTAGAGACAAAGGTTATAAATGATCATTGAATATCAAAATGTCTGTTTCACCCCAATACATTATGTTTTAGGTACTCTGTTAGTTACCACAGATCAAGGAAAACATATGGTATCTGTCTTTTTGGGACTGGCTTATTTCACCAAGTATAATGGTTTCCAGTTGCATCCGTTTTGTTGCAAAATACAGGACTTCATTTTTTTTTTTTTTTAACTGCTGAGTGGTGTTCTGTAGCATAAATAAACCATCATTTCTTTATCCAGTCATAAGTTAATGGACATCTGTGTAGATTTCATATCTTAACTATTGTGAATTGAGCTGTAATGAATATGGGGGTACAAATAACTCTTTCATCTGCTGATTTCATTTTGTTTGGGTAAATTCCCAGGAGTGGGATGGCTGGGTCATGTGGTAGGTCTGTATTAAGATTTCTGAAGTATCTCCATAACGTCTTCCTCAATGGCTGTGCCAGTTTACATTCGTACCAACAATGGATTAAGATACCTTTTTTCCCACATCCTTGCCAGCATTTATTGTTTGTTGATTTCTGTATGAGAGCCATTCTTACTGTAGTGAGGTGAAACCTCAGTTTGGTTTTGATTTGCATTTCCCTGATGGCTAGTGATCCTGCGCATTTTTTCAAGTGTCTGTTGGCCATTTGAATTTCCTCTTTTGAAAAATGCCTGTTCAATTCCTTTCTCCACTTCTTAAATGTTGTTTTGTTGTTGAGTTTCTTGAGCTCTTTATAGATTCTGGATATTAATCCTTTATCAGTTGCATAGTTTGTAAAAATTTTCTAGCATTCTGTCAGTTGCTTCTTCCACTTTGCTGAGTATTTCTTTTGCAGTGCAAAAGCTTCTCAGCTTGATGTAATCCAATTTGTCAGTTTTGGCTTTGATTGCCTGTGCTTCTGAATGGGTCTTTTCTAAGAAGTCTTTGCCTGTTCCAATATCCTGCAAAGTTTCCCCAATGTTCTCTAGTAATTTGATGGTATTGTTGTAGTTTTAGGTCCTTGATCCATGTTGAGTGGATTTTTTTGTGAGGTGTAAGGTAGGAGTCTTGTTTTATACTTCCGCATGTGGAGATACAGTTTTCCTAGCACCATTGGTTGAAGAGACTGTCCTTGCTCCAGGGGTTGGTTTTTTAGCTCTTTTTCAAAGATTAGCTGGTTGTAGATGCGTGGATTAATATCTGGAGTTTCTATTCTGTTCCATTTGTCTTTACCAGTAGCAGGCTGTTTTGATTTATAACTGGTATTGTGATGCCTCTGGCTTTGTTTTTGTTGCATATGTTATAGAGATTCTTGAGTTGTTAATTTTAAGCTTCATTCCATTGTTGTCAGAAAAAGTGCATGATGTGATTTTGGTTTTTTTGAATTTGCTGAGACTTGCATATGATCTATCCTGGTCTACGCTGGACAAAGTTCCATGTACTGATGAAAAGAATGTGTATTCTGCAACTGTGGGATGAAAGATTCTGTAGATATCATCAGTTAGGTCCATGTGGTCCATAGTATCAATTAGCTCTGTTGTTTCTTTGCTGATATTTTGTCTAGTTGATCTTTCCATTGATGAAAGTGGGATGTTGAAGTCTCCGTTACTATTGTGTTAGAGTCTATGTCTCCCTTTAGATCCATTAACATTTGTTTTAGCCAGGCACCCTGGCATTGGGTGCGTATACATTTATTATAGTTACATCTTCCTGTTGAATTGATCCCTTAATCATTACATAGTGCCCTTCTTTGTCTTTTAGTAATTTCTGTGTTAAAGTCTATTTTGTCTGATATTAGGATGGATACACCTCTTTTCTGCTTTTTCCATCCTTTCACTTTCATTCCTTGTGGATCTTGTTGGTAAGGTATGTTTCTTGCAGGCAGCAAATGGGTCTTTTTAAAAAAATTGTATTTAAGTTATACAAGTTTCATGTATTTCATATATACAGATTTAGGAACATAGTGATACTTTCCACCCTACCTTCCCTCCTACCCATGCTGGAACCCTTCTTCCTCCTTCTCCTTCACCTATGCCTACTCTTTAATTTTTACAAAGATCTGTTTTCAGTTTATTTAATGATCCTTGAGGTTAACCCTATACTAAGTAAAGGGTTCAACATATAGTATGAAGGAAAAAACACCATTCCTCAGCTGAAGCGACAGGGGCTGTAAACAGTCATTGAATCTCAGAATATCTGTTTCACTCCAGTAGATTACATCTTAGGTACTCTGTTAGTTACCACAGATCAGGGAAAACATATCTGTCTTTTTGGGACTGTCTCATCTGACTAAGTATAATGGTTTCCAGCTGCATCCATATTGTTGCAAAAGACAGAATTTCAATCCATTCAGCTTTTGGCCATTTACATACTAGATTACTATTGATAAGTAATGATTTGGCCCAACCATTTTTCCATGAATATTCCTATTGTTTGCTTTGTATTTCTTTTTTTTTCCTTATTGGGAGATTTTCTGCCTTCGCATTCTTTGATAATAATGATTATTTTTCTATGCTCCTGTGTGTAGCAACATCCTTAAGCATTTTTTGTAAGGCTGGTCAAGTGGTAACAAATTGTTTTAGTTTCTGTTTGTTATGGAAGGTCCTTATTTCACTTTCATTCATAAATCATATCTTTGCCTGGTACAGTGTTCTGAGTTGACAGTTTTTTTTTTTTCTCTTAAGACTTAGACTATATCTCTGCATTCTAGCCTATAGGGTTTCTGATGAGAAATTAGACTGTGGGTCTAATTGGAGATGGAGAGCCTCTGAAAGAAATTATGTTTCTCTCATATAAATTTTAGAATCTTTTCTTTATGTTTTACTGTGGAAAATTTGACCATTATGTGTTGTGGTGAAGATCTTTCCTGGTAATGTCTATTAGGAGTTCTGTGTGCACTGGGTACTTGGACTTCCCTTTTCTTTCTCCAAATTAGGAAAGTTTTTTTCTGTAATTATTTCACTAAACAGGTCTTCTAATCCATTCTCTCTTTGTACACCATCAGGAATTCCTAGGACCCATATGTTTTTCTAATGTCTTTTTTTTTTTTTTTTTTGGTCTGACTGAAAAATTTCCAAAAATTTGTCTTCTAGCTTGGATATTCTTTCTTCAGCCTCACCAAGTCTGTTGTTAAGCCTTTCAAGTGTATTTTTATATGACATATTGAATTCTTCATTTCTAATATTTCATTTTGATTTCCCTGCAGAATCTCAATTTCAAGGGAGAATCTTTCATTCATGTCATATATGGATTTCTTTAATTTGTGAATTTGCTTCTTATTGCTTCTGAGTAATCCTGTGATTAATCTTTTAAATTCCATTTACAGTATTTCATCAGCCTCTTCATTGTCACATTCTAATATGGAAGTGTTGTTGTTTTCTTTTGTAGGGGATCATGTTGTCCTCCTTGTTTTTGTTTCTTGAGTTTTTGCATTTATTTTTAGGCTGTATCACCAGTGGTATAGGCTGCTGCAGTATGATCTGACTTCACTCTCCTAAGCTGGTACTTTTTTCTGGCTCTCGGCTGCTGAGGTCATGTGTTGTGTCCATGTTTGTGCTACATATCTGTACCTTCCACACCATTCCATGGCATTTCTGTTCCCTCCATAGAATTTCCACTGTGGTTTTTTTCTCTAACTGGCCCCTGATAGTGTACTTCCTGCACTTTTTTTTTTTTTTTTACTATTTACCCCTACCCTAGCCTAGAGCAATATACTCTTCCCCATTCCACCATCTTAAAATTCATCACATTCATCAAGATTTATTTATATATTTGAAAGGCAAAACAACTGAGAGAGAGGAAGAGATAGAGCTCTTCCATTTGTGGATTCACTCCCAAAATGGTCACACCAGCTAGGGCCAGGCTAAGCCAAAGCCAGGAGGCTGGAACTCTGTCCAGATCTTCCATGTATTTGGCAGAGCCCAAATATTTGGGCCATCTGCTGCTGCTTTCCCCTAGCAAATTAGCAGGGAGCTGGATCAGAAGCAGAGCAGATGGGACTCAAACTAGCACTCTGATAACGGATGCCGACGTTGCAGCTCATGTTTTAATTAGCTATGTCCCAGTGCTGGACTTAAATTTCTGAATTTTAGGTTAAAATGGAAAAATTTCTTAATTAATGTAGTTCATTTGTATTTATGTTAACAGGAATAAACAACATGTTTGGATTTATTCTATTATCTAGGTTCGTCGTTTCAGAGAAAGCAGACAGAAAAATACTGATGAAGAAGATGATGAAGTTCGAGAGGTAATTTTTCTGTTGTTAATTCCTATGCTTATGCATCAGTTTGTTAAACTCAATACCGACAGGTTTGTTTAGAATAATCAGTCCCCAGGTATGGTAGATAGAAGTGAGCAAGTGTTAACTGAAGGTAACTGCCTTTGATTTATTTCAGTTCAGCCTGCAAATATTCTCTTTGCTGACATTACTCTTTTTCTTTTGCTGTGGTCTAAAATGAATTTATGTGTTGGGGGGGGCATGTACAAGAGCACTTGTTAATATGTTATCTAATTGCTGTCATTGCATCCTGTGGATGTAAGCTGCAGTCTTACCCTGTGGAGTTAATATTATGCTGTACAAAAACAGAGAAACAGTGTTTTGGTTAGTATTGTTACCATTGTTAAATAGACAGTTTCCATTATCCCTTTTAAAGTGTTACAGTGAGCTGGAGCACCATCATCACTGTCTTCTCGGTCTCTATATGTTAAGAGGGACAAGTTAACAACCATTTGTTTAAGTTTTGGGTCAGTAACTGAAGCCTAACTGAAATGTAGTTTCTTATTTTCTGATTGTCCATAGTGTTTATGATCGCTATCTGGTATTTACAAGGTTATTTTATAAATTATTTATACTAGGGTTTTGTCTTGATTACTTTAATTCAGCAGACGTTTTTAGAAAAAAAAAAAAACATTTATTTAGTTAAAAAGCAGGGTTATAGAGGGAGAGATCTTTTATTGCTGGCGCACTCCCCAAATAGCTAGAATGACCAGGGCTGGGCCAGACCAAAGCTGGGAGCCTGGAACTCCATCCTGGTCCCTGACATGGGTGGCAGGAGCCCAGCTTCTTAGGCAATTGTGCTGCTTTCTCAGATGCATGATCAGGGATCTGGATCAGAAGTGGAGCAGCTGGGACTCCAGCTTGTGCTTTTATGGGATACTGGCATTGCAGGCAGCAGCTTATCCCACTGAGCCACAGTGCCAACCCTAGAGACCTCACTTTTATAATACAGTAATTCCCTTGATAATTAATTGCTATACTGATCCATGAATGATCTAATCTATTCATGAGGCAGAGCCTTTGTGACCCTTTCACTTCCCAAAGGTCCCATCACTCACAGGATGTTAACATGTGACCTGGAGATTAAGTTTCCAGCACATGAAATTTCGGGGATCCATTCAAATCAGAGTACTGGATAGTTTTTCAACATGCCATAGGATGTTACAAACTTCTTCATTCTCAGCATACTATTTAGAACTTAGGTAATAGAATTTGATAACTTCCCCAAGCTATAATTCACAGCTTTGCAGAATCGTTTAGCTCAGAATATGAAACCCACTACTGTGCATACTGAATAGACAAGCAAAAGTGTTAAAGATAAAAATTATAATTTACAGTCTTGTGTTCATACAGAAAAACTCTCAAGTCTTTAATTATAAGTTCACATTTAAATAAAGGGCCAAACAGTAAATATTAGGCTTTACAGGTTATATACTCACACTGGCAAGAAAATAGAGAAATTGGAACCCTTGTATATTGCTGATAAGAATGAAAAATGGTATAGCTGCTGTGGAAAACGGTATGGTGGATCTTCAAAAACTGACACGTAGAATTACCATATCATCTAGCAATTGCACTTTTAAGTATATGACCAAAAGAATTGAAAGCCAGAGACTCAAATAGCTGACAGCTCTAGAGGCCCAAGATTAGTATACTAGTGTTCTTAACAGCATGATTCACAAAAGTCAAAAGGTAGAAATAACACAAAAGTCCATCAATAGATAAATTGATCGATGTAATATATAAAAATGCAGTGGAATATTACTCTGTCTTTAAAAGGAGTGAAATTCTGATTCATACTACAAGATCGATGATTGTTGAAAATATTAAGGTTGGGGCCAGGGCTGTGGCGCAGCATTAAAGCTCTGGCTTGCAATGTCAGCATCTCATATGGGCACCAGTTGAGTCCCAGATGCTCTACCTCCAATCCAGCTCCCTGCTAATGGCCTGGGAAAGCAGTAGAAGATGGCTCAAGTCCTTGGGCCCCTACACCCATGTGGGAGACTCAGAAGAAGCTCCTGGCACCTGGCTTCGGATTAGCTCAGCTCTGGATGTTGCGACCATTTGGGGAGTGAACCAGTGGATGGAAGACCTCTCTGTATTTCTATAACTCTTTCTTTCAAATAAATAAAATAAATCCTTAAAAAAATCAAGATCAAAAAAGCAGGTACAATAGGAAGAATGTATGACTTCACTTATATGAGGTACCTAGAGTAATCAAATTAATACAGACAGAAAATGGAATACTGGAGTAGAGCCTGGACTCTGACTCAGGCATTCTGTATGAAATAGGGAATCCCAAGTAGTGTCTTTAACTGCTGCTCCAAATTCTTACCCTTCTTCATAATTTTATAGTGAAAAAAATAAGGCAGGTAGTTAGAAAATAACAAATGTTCACGTGAATGACTAGATTAATAATTGTTAGGATGCTGCATTATCTGCTAATGTGTACTTTCTCCTTGTTATCCCTCTTAGGCTATAAACAGGGCCAGAGCTCTTAGGTCTCAGTCAGAGGACTTGGCTTCTGCTTTTAGTGCTGATGACCATATGAGTATAGATTTAGCAGAAGAGATGGCTAATGACTCCGATGACAGCATCTCGGCAGCAGCCAACAAAGGAAGAGGCCGAGGAAGAGGTCGAAGAGGAGGAAGAGGGCAGAATTCAGCATCGAGAGGAGGGTCTCAGAGAGGAAGAGGTTAGCACTGAATATAACCGTGTACACTTCAGACTTGACAGTCGAGTGGGAAATACGAATTGTATCTTGTCAGAGTTAAGAGTTTGTATTTCTGAAACAACGCTTTAAAGATGTATTTTCATAATGCATAAAGATGGTCCTGTATTTTGAATGGCCACATATAAATAGGGTTAAATTACTCTTAACATACTGTTTTTTTTAAGCTTTAATGTGTTTCAAGCAGTATCTAATGGTCATATGTCATATTCATTCTCACATGTAGAAAGTAATAATGAAGCAGATTGGAGTTGTTAAAGAAAAATAGCTGACTAATAATGGCCATTTACAGCAGGAAGAAAACTCCAGATCATAAAAATACTGTTGTCACTGTCATAAGGTACAATGTGTTGATAAAAAGATGCTCTTAAAGTTTGTTTAAAAAGAAAATTACCAAAACTTGATCTCTAAAAGCTTTCATTAACTTTTTTTTTTTTTTTAAAGATTTATTTATTTGAAAGGCAGAGGTGGAGGGAGGGAGGGAGAGAGAGGTCTTCCATCTGCTGGTTCACTCCCCAAATGGCTGTAGCTGCCAGTGTTGCACCAATTCGAAGCCAGAAGCCGGGAGCTTCTTCTGGTCTCCCATGGGAATGCAGGAGCCCAAGAACTTGGGCCATCTTCCACTGCTTTCCCAGGCCATAGCAGAGAGCTGGATCCAAAATGGAGCAGCCAGGACTAGAACCAGTGCCCATATGGGATGCTGGTACTGCAGGAAGAGACTTTACCCATTACGCCACAGCGCTGGCCGCTTCATTAACTTTACTTGCCATCATTTTATTAAATGTGAACATTTTTTGTCATTGAATAGCTTAAACAATAGAAAATGTTCATCCAATGACTTTTTTTTTTTTTTTTTTTGGACAGGCAGAGTAGACAGTGAGAGAGAGACAGAGAGAAAGGTCTTTCTTTTCCGTTGGTTCACCCCTCAACGGCTGCTGCGGCCAGCACGCTGCGGCTAGCACGCTGCGGCTGGCACACCGCACTGATCCGAAGCCAGGAGCCAGGTGCTTCTCCTGGTTTCCCATGCGGATGCAGGGCCCAAGGACTTGGGCCATCCTCCACTGCACTCCTGGGCCACAGCAGAGAGCTGGCCTGGAAGAGGGGCAACCGGGACAGAAATTGGCGCCCCGACTGGGGCTAGAACCCAGTGTGCTAGTGCCGCAGGCGGAGGATTAGCCTATTGAGCCGCGGCACCGGCCCCAATGACTTCTTGATATATAAGTTTATCCTTAGGCATGTATAATTTTTTTATTGAATATTTATCCATAGAAATTTTAAGCTGATAAATTAGATAATAGTTTAGTCAAAAATATCCAGGAAGAGAAAACCTCATCTTTTAATGATAATTACTTTTTTTTAATCCTTACAGTTACAAAATGTTTTCATAAATTTTATTTGGGACAGTATGAACATGTGTGTCATAAAAGTAGTCTCTGACGATTGGTCAGACTCTGTAGATGTTTCTTCTCATTTATGCCTTTGGCTTTTTACAAATAACTGTTTGACATAACTTTATTTAGCTTTTATTTTGGTGGTGGTTTTAAAAAACCTTCTGTACTGGGCCAGTGCTGTGGCGTAGTAGGTGGGGCTACCACCTGCAGTGCCGGGATCCCATATGGATGCTGCTCCACTTCAGATCTAGCTCTCTGCTATGGCCTGGAGGAGCAGTGGAGGATGGCCCAAGTGCTTGGGCCCTGCACCCATATGGAAGACCGGAGGAGGCTCCTGGCTCCTGGCTTCAGATTGGCACAGCTCCAGCCGTTGCGGCCAGCTGGGGAGTGAACAGCGGATGGAAAACCTCTCTCTCTCTGCCTCTCCTTCTCTCTCTCTGTAACTCTGACTTTCAAATAATGTAAATAAATCTTTAAAAAAAAACCTTCCGTACTGATGAGATTGTAATTGCTCTTTGTTGGAACAACAGGTACTGGTCTGGAGACTTCTCGAAGCAGGAATTCAAAGGCTGCAGTGTCAACATCTAGAAATATGTCAATTATAGATGGTGAGTGATTGTCTAGCACCTATTTATAAATTCCAGCCTAAGAAGACCTAGGAAATTTCCATGTGTAACCTTCATTTGTTTGTGTTAAAATCAGTGGGGAACTAAAAGGCCATTAAGATCCCAGGGTAAATTATTCTTTGAAAGATCTTTGCCATGCATCAGAGCTTCTGAAGAGGTTATGCCTTAAAGGTTACTTTCATAATTCCTTAGTTTTAGACAGATTTGATCATAATTTCTCTTTGACAGAGCAATCAGAAAAGCATAGAAAAGTGAGGCAGTTGTTACCAACAACAACAGAGAAAGAAAAGGAAATTTCTCCTATTGAAATGCTTACAGTAACTTTTCTGCATCTGTCCATCTCTGCTATCAGTGCAGAGAATTTGTGTGAACTATTTAGGGAAATTATATTTAGGATTCTTTGAATTAGTTTTGTGTATGTTCTGTGGTCAAAAAATTGGCTTTAACCTAAGAGGATATGTTAAACTATACTTAATATTATAGTATATGAGACCAACCTAAGTTGTTAGATTTACAAAATATATGTTAAGATAGTTAATGAGTTTTCTTGCAGGCTTCTAGTGTTTATTCATGTGCATTTTACTTACATTAATGTATCTTATTTAAGATTATTATCTCCTTTTTATATCCAGGATTAATTTTTTTTAAAGATTTATTTATTTGAAAGTCAGAGTGGCAGAGAGAAAAAGAGAGAGAGGGAGAGAGAGAGGTCTTCCATCCAGTGGTTCACTTCCCAATTGGCTGCAATGGCTGGATCTGCGCTTATCTGAAGCCAGGAGTCAGGAGCTTCTTCTGGGTCTCCCATATGCAGAGGCCCAAGGACTTGGGCCATCCTCCACCACCTTCCCAGGCTATAGCAGAGAGCTGGATCGGAAGTGGAACAGCCGGGTCTTGAACCAGTGCCTGTATGGGATGCTGGCGCTTCAGGCCAGGGTGTTAACCCACTGTGCCACAGTGCCGGCCCCAGGATTAATTCTTGACAATTTGGAGAGTTAGACTAAATTTCTTAAAAGTTAAATTTTCAAGGGTAAATATAAACTGCATTTATGTTCAAAAGGACAACTTGCACAAACAGAGTCGTGAGAAGTAAAATAAACATAGATCAGTAAGAGCCATGTGGGGTAGCCTAATTGTTCAAACCTAGTGATGTCTCAAGCAGGATTATATAAGAGTGCATCTCCGCAGTAAAGATATTCTTCTGTACTGCCATTGAGCACATCATGCCAAGAATTCTATGCTTATCCTTGGAGCTGTATTTCAAGAAAGGTCTCAACTGTATATGATTGTTCAGAAAAAAACCCAGGCAATAACAAAAAATGGTTGAAGGAACTTGGATAGCTAACCTGGGAAAGACTCATGTTTTTATAGAGATTAAGTTCTTTCATGTGGAAGGTGGAATAGAGTTGATTTGTTTAGTCCCAAAGGCAATGATTTTTTTTTTTTTTAAAGATCTGTTTATTTACTTGAAAGAGTTACAGAGAGACAGAGGCAGAGGCAGGGAGAGAGAAAGCCTTCTGTCTGCTGGTTCACTCCCAAATGGCCACGATGGCCAGAGCTGAGACGATCTGAAGCCAAGAGCTTCTTCTGGGTCTCCCACATGGGTGCAGGGACTTCTACTGCTTTCCCAGGCCATAGCAGAGAGCTGGATCAAAAGTGGAGCAGCTGGGACTTGAACTGGCACCTGTATGGGATGTTGGCACCACAGGCGGTGGCTTTACCTGCTACGCCATAGTACTGGCCCCTGCAATAGTTTTAATCTACGTACATAGCCATATGAATTTTCTAAGAATCTGATGAAAGCTGTGTTTCCTCTCAGTAAATACTTACCTGTAATTCCATTCAATTTTAAAGGATTCAGGTACTGCCATGAAGCCCATCCATGTTCTCCGGATTAAAAATTTATGGTTCAGTGAGAATGGATGGGAAAAGCTAGAAACATACAATTTAAGTGTGTTATCTGATAGAATGGACCTGGAAGATTTAAGAACACGTTTGCTGCTCTCATTTTATAAATATAGGAACTGAGCTAAGCAATTTGCCCTTGGTTGATAAAACTACTAATAGTACCAACAGTAGCTAACAATTCATGAAATAGTAACTGAATGCCTCTTAACAGCACTGTGGGCTTGGGACTTACATTATTCTTGTTTTACAGAAAAGGGAAGTGAAGCTTTGAAAAGATAGGTAAATTATCTACAATCTCATAACTAGTCAGTGCTAGGACTTGGATTGATCCCATATTCTTTGGCTTCCAGAATCAGTAGTTGACCCCTATACTAGTTTCTAGAGCAATGTAATATTAGAAATCTAGCTGCTGGTTCTTCATAGAGGAGTCTTTGCATTATACAGAATGACCTATCTAATTAGTTACAAAGTAAGTTCTTTTGGAAATTTATATTCATTAAATAAAAGTTAAAAAAAAAAAAAAACAAAGTAAGTTCTTACTCCATTACAGGAAGGTTCAGCATTTACTGGATGACAGCTGACAATGGAGAAAGGATATGTATACCAAATCGATAATGGCTTGTAAGGAACCTTCGTACCAAAAATTCAGTTGCTGTATTTTCACTCAGATATTATTGAGTACTTCAGGAGAGCCTCTTAAGACCCTTAGCCTTTGACTTCAGGAACATGTTCCCTTTGTTGCCGTTTCAGAAGCGGCATTCAGAAAGATGCTTTTCTTTCACAGGCATGTCCAATATAAAAGCAGCCAAATGGAAGAAAAGAAAAGGCAGCGTGATGTGTTATTGTAAAGTAGGCTGAGGGCCGGCACCGCGGCTCAATAGGCTAATCCTCCGCCTGCGGCGCCAGCACACTGGGTTCTAGTCCCGGTCAGGGCGCTGGATTCTGTCCCGGTTGCCCCTCTTCCAGGCCAGCTCTCTGCTGTGGCCCGGGAGTGCAGTGGAGGATGGCCCAAGTGCTTGGGCCCTGCACCCGTCTGGGAGACCAGGAGAAGTACCTGGCTTCTGGCTTCGGATCAGCGCGGTGCACCGGCTGTAGCGTGCCAGCCGCAGCGGCCATTGTGGGGTGAACCAACGGCAAAAGGAAGACCTTTCTCTTTGTTTCTCTCTCTCTCTCACTGTCCACTCTGCCTATCAAAATAAATAAATAAATAAATAAAATTTAAAAAAGTATCTAGGCTGAGTTCACTGTGTGAAAGCTTTGTGAAATGAGATAAGTCAGTCACTCTCCTAGTTTTGTAAACTGGGAATAATAATCTGTATTGGGCTATTCTGAAGGTTAAATGAGCAAAAAGCCTGGCACATACTAGGCATTTATGGAATAGTACTTACTGTTATTTTTAAAAATGGGAAAGAAGAGGAACATAGAAATAGAAAGTGAGAAAAATATGGGACATTTCATGTTAAACCACCAGGAGTTGCTTTATTACACTGTGTCACAGATTGCTTTCCTTCACCTCAGACCAAATTGGCTTTTTTTTTTTTTTTTTTTTTTTTTTTTTTTACAGATAGAGTTAGTGAGAGAGAGAGAGACAGACAGACAGAGAGAAAGGTCTTCCTTCTGTTGGTTCACCCCACAAATGGCCACAAGGGCCAGAGCTACACTGGTCCGAAGCCAGGAACCAGGTGCTTCCTCCTGGTCTCCCATGCGGGTGCAGGGCCCAAGCACTTGGGCCATCCTCCACTGCCTTCCCAGTCCACAGCAGAGAGCTGGACTGGAAGAGGAGCAAGCGGGACTAGTACCCGGCACACATATGGGATGCTGGCACTGCAGGCGGAGGATTAATCAAGTGAACCATGGCGCCGGCCCCCCAAGTTGACTTTTTTAAAATCCTGGCTTGATTGTTTTTACGTGAAACTTTCTATGATAACAGTGTGTAAAATTAATCACTTCACATGAGGTTTCAGGTTCCCATTTTTGTTAAGCAAACAGCTTAACATTATGCTAATTGCTTTTTAAAAAAATTTTTTATTATTTTATTTTTGACAGGCAGAGTGGACAGTGGGAGAGAGAGACAGAGAGAAAGGTCTTCCTTTTCTGTTGGTTCACCCCACAATGGCCGCTGCAGCCAGTGCGCTGTGGCCGGCGCACTGTGCTGATCTGAAGCCAGGAGCCAGGTGCTTCTCCTGGTCTCCCAGACGGGTGCAGGGCCCAAGCACTTGGGCCATCCTCCACTGCACTCCCGGGCCACAGCAGAGGGCTGGCCTGGAAGAGGGGCAACCGGGACAGAATCCAGTGCCCTGACCGGGACTAGAACCCGGTGTGCCGGCGCTGCAGGTGGAGGATTAGCCTAATGAGCCGCAGCGCCGGCCGCTAATTGCTTTTTTAAAATTATTATTAATCTGTTTTTCCCTCAGCTTCCTGCTTTTGGTGTTGTACTGTTCTGCTATGATGAATATAAATATGGTATTTTTTAAATCCTGCTTAGGGTTTCTTGGGCTTCACAATATGTGAATTGATGTCTTTCATCATTGCTAAAAAATGCTTTAGCTGTTACCTCTGTGCTACTCTTACTCTTCTCCTTTTTGGGTCTTCAATTAAATAAATGTAAGATCTTTTTATTCTGTCTGCCCATAATTATTCTCTTGTATTTTCTACTGTTTTATCTTCCTTCATGTACATTCTCAGTAATTATTTCTGATCCATCTTCTGACCCACTCTATTTTTAAAATCTCCTTGTGAATTTTTAATTTTCATTGTTTTGGCTGGGTATAGAAATCCTACTTAATTCTTTTTGCATATGATGTGTCACTTTTCATAGTTTTTAAAATTCCCTGGAGATATTTTTAAGCCTGACTTTAATTTTTTGTGTGTGAATAGTGAGGATATTTGTTTTGTATTTTATGTCCAATATCCCAATGTTTGGCTTCTTTCTTTTGGTTTTCATTCATGGTGGCTTACTTTGTTACATGCTTTGTTATCTATTGACTTAGAAAATGATCAGTAGGAATAAGTGAGACCCCAGCTGAAGCTATCTTCCCCCAGAGAAGATTCATCTTTGTGTCTCCAGGTTTATAGGA